ATTCTTCATTATGAGAGTCGTGAGGCACCGGAACAGGTTAGGTTGGAACTAAATGATCTTTAAGGGCCCTTCCAAGCCAAATCATTCTATAATTCTATGATAATTACTGTGTTTACATTTTTGCTAAGGTCACATGGACCTGCCTCTTCTATTTCCTTTTTCTTCATTTCATTGGAGTGTTTGGTTCTAGAGTTATACCATAGTTTATTTCGTTGTCGCAAGCTCCCTCCTCCTACCATTTTGTTTTTCTCCATTAAATAATGCCCTCTCTGCTATGTTTTGAATCAAAGGAACCTTGGATTTTGACAAAAATCCTGTTAGTATTTCATGTATTGTACAGTACAATACCATACAATAGTATTGATCCAGGAATCAACGTATTGTATTGATCCTGGAATATTTAATGTTCCAGTTTCATATTGCAGATATTCTGGGGAAAGAGCTGCAAAGAGAGCAGTGAAAGCTGAAATGCTTTTTCCCTTCTGAGGCTTGTTTTAACCATGAGAGCAAGCCAAGTCCTAACATTTTGAATATGATGGTTTAGGCCAAGATCAAAGGGCTGGAGGAGAGACCAACAGCCTTTCTCACACTAATCCAGCCTCTAAAATCTGGTTTTGTTACATTGAGCTACCTGGTGTGGACAAAGCCACCAGCACACTCAGTAAGCCCTGCTGCCAGGATAGGCTCCTCAGCCCTTGGAAGTTCTGCTATGGGCTTTAGTCTAAATTTTCATCCTCCTGTTCTCCACTTTAATAAGGTGATTAGACTTAAAATTTGTGAGGTGTCAGCTAAAGGGAAGGTTAACATAAAGTGTTAATGACAGCCATGTTTCCCTTGGCACAGAGAAGCGTTCTGAGACCTCCTTTTCCTCCACTCCATCTTTCCATTTATTTCCACTAATTTGCAAAAAAATAGTTCTACACTCTTAGTGTCAAAACACATGAATTTCAGTGAAGTAACAAAGAGGTAAATTAGAAAGAAACACATGGAAACTAATCGGGAAAAAAAAAGGGGGTGTTCTGTTTTTTTTTCATATTGTTCTAGTATTAAAATATTAGAAACTAATGTTTTCATGTGGTCCATTGAATTGCGTTAGTGGTTTTGCTGTCTATGTTTAACAAGATTAAAAAAAGGGAGATTTCTGTATCTAGAGCTAGTAATAAAGCAAAAAATTTCAAGCTTCATTCTCTAATTGTTAAAGATATGGATTAATTTTAATGCTGTGGAAAATAATTTCATTTCTTCTTACTGTGAAGTTTCTTGCAAATTTTTCTGATTTATCTAGTCTGGCTTCTGCTGAAGACAGTTTTTGGAATATATGCAACATGAGTTTGATTTTGGATAGAGGCTTCTATGGTTTAACTATATCATTCTTTAGAAAAAAATCTAATCCAAATAAGGAATGAACATCTCAGCTTTTTTTGACCTTTATTTCTCGAAGGCAAATGCCAAACTTCACAGAAATCAGACTGCATTTTGAAATTAATCCAGATCTAATGAATTCTCACCTGAATACATTAGATGAAACTCTTGTTTATGTGTATCTCTGCAACCTGGAAGTTCTACCAAGATTAATTCCATTGGAGGTCCAGTAAAATGAGTAACACAATTCACTTTTGAGGCAGAAAGGAGTTCAAGATCTAGTGCAATATTTTAGACATCATTAATTTGCCCTTCTTTTGTAAATATAAATAAATATATGTATATATAATAATAGACATATATTCATGGCTGAATTTAGCTCCATCTTGCTGCACTTATTTTCCAATGGTAAACTTGGTCATGAAGTCTGCCTTTATTTGTGGAGGCTGAACTTCTCACGATATGTCTAAAACACATGCTCTGTATTAAGACAAATAAAACTATATGTGTAATTAAAATTAAGCTGTTGCTTACTTTCTGTGATTAATAAAAATGTATTAGGCATACACTTCAGTATTTGTCAGGATTGAAGTCTGTCTGCTGAGTTAGATGATGGAGTTTTTGGATTAGTTTGTAAAAGTTCTCTTCATACAGACACAGACAGAGCATGCAAATGTCCTGATTGGTCACATGTCCTCATGACCTGTAGCCAGGATCTGGTATGGATTTTTTTAGTTCAGTCAAAACAGGACTTCATCTGGAAAGCAGAAGATGGAAGTAAGGGAAGGGATCCAAGTTTTTAATCCTTTTTCTTTTTTTTTTTTTTTTCCCCTTTTCTGAACAGATGTTGTTGAGATGGTCGGGCTACACAGCCACAAATCCAACCAAAAAGTCAGTAAAGAAATATATACAAACATATGTTGGTATTTGGTATATGGTTAATCAGGCAGGCTACAGTCACCTACTGCTGACATGAGTATCTACCTCACATATAATGGAGATGACAGACTTTTTAAGATTACTACAGATGAAGAATTTGTGTACTCTTGATTCTTCATTCAGTCAAGAGAAAACCTAAACACAACACTGACACTTACTTTAATAACAGCCGAAGGGTTCAGCACAGATTGTTGCAGGAGTTTGGCTCATGCCAAGCAGTAAAGGAGCTTTACTTAAAGGTATAGATTATACCATATGGCTCAGGTTCACAGATTTCAGTTTGGGGCAATAATCTCTCTGGCAACTGTCAGGTGGGATACTAAATTCATGCAAGAATAATTGTATAGGGTAGATTAGCTGTTGAGTACAGAAGTGGTAGTTTTCTGACTATTAATTCTCTGCAGAAGAAAAAGCTATTTAATTGGAATTGCAGGATATGCTGATCTCATCATGGTGGTCATGAAGAAGTAATTCTCATTTTGTCAGTGACATATTTATTAATGCCTTAAAAATAAAATCCAAGACTGATGACAGTTCCTTCAAAATAAACTCTGCAACATGCTTAATTTTTTACTTCTTGTAAAACTCCCTAGTTATATTAAATATATGCAAAACTTTTTCAAAGTTACTAATTACAGCTTATTAAAGTTACCTAGTAACTTCCCTGTTAGAATTCAGTAATTATGAACGAAGGGGATCCCAACAGGCACCTGTTTTACACTTGAAAGCTCAGAATTATTGCTCTACAGTAACACTTTGTTTTATGTAACATAAGGCAAAGGAGGAATTATACAACAATATTTCTGTTATCTTGTCTGGAAAGACTAGAAATCGAATCCATATTGGATAGGATGTGCTGCTGTCACAGTACAAACACTAATGACTGCAATATCCATGAGCCTAAAGAAAAAGCAAAACATGCACAATACCTACACTGAAACAAATATTCACCCTTTTTTCAAAAAAATGTTTTAAGAGCCTTAGATGAAACACCTTTAACTGCAAACCATTATACTATGTGTACTAAAAATCTTCTGGTGCCATCTAGGTCATATTTGACTGACCATATAGAATAACATTTTCTTTATTTTTTGAGGTATGATCTGACTACAGTAACAGAAAACTGCAACAGTCTACATAAAAGATGTAAAACTTCGAGTTTCTTTTAAATCCAGGAGGGAAAAAAAATGTAAGGAAGCTCGCCCTAAATACTGAAAGGTCTATGATTCGTTAATCTTTGCTCTTGATGAAAAACCTTACACCTAACACAGTTAAACACCTACAGAAGATTTTTTTGTGAGAAAGATCATAGATAAACAGATGATACTAAAAAAAAAAAAAAAAAGTGAGGCCAAAGTAGTCTTCCCATAATACACGGAAATTCTCTTATTTATTTCACACTCCTTGTCTTTATGGAGTTTGATATTTTACAAAGATTCTGCAGTACCTTATACTCAATTAGATATTTAATGTTTTTAAATGCTGAACACAATCATTCATTTTATAAAATAATCATGAACCTTGCGTAATACAGCTTTCTTTAGACAAAGTAAAAGACATTGCTTCCATAACATCATACATGTACTTGTGGATTTCACCAAAACCTGTCTACATGTCTAGTATTTTGAAGAGACACCCTTGTCCTGGTGAGATGCCAGAAACAGACAGAAGTAAGAGAGACAGATGACAACACAAACATTTTGTGGAAATTATGGTAGCCAGGAAAATAAATTGTAAGTATTTAAATACACCAAAACTACAATTTCTGTACTTGAAAAGTAGATAGCAAAACTCTGCAGGGAACTTGGGAAAAAAAAAAGGCTCAAGAAAGAAGTAAGGATGGCCTACAGAAAGCTATTTGGATACAGTGGATTGAGGCCATAACTTTATCAGAATTGAAGCAGGGAGACAAGATGGATTCATTTTACAAGAATGAAAGGGAAGGCTACATGAAAAACGAGAAGAATATAAGGAAATGAAAGAAGGAAGATGCAAAGCGTTTTGTTGGTTAAACTATAGGATCACATGATCTCATATAGCTCATAGCAGGTAACTACCATGCCAAAAAAGATGACAGAATTACAGAATAATGGAGGTTGTAAAGGACCCCTGGAGGTCATCTCATCCAACTCCAAAGAGGAAACCAAAATAAACAAACAGAAAATACAACAAAATCCCTGCAAATAACGGGGGTGGGGGTTGGGGGGGAAGACAACATGATACAAAGGGGAATAGATGGACAACTACAGGGTGAGGGAATGGATAAACATGTTGATAGTGATAACTGTATCAAAACCAATGTAATGGAATAAAATACAATCCAGAACAGATTTCTGGTTAAGATCTAAACAGTAAGTCATTCAAGTGGAAACAGAACAAGAAGTTTCCAATGCAGTTACAATAAATTGTCTAAACAGTTTCATAATATTCCCAGAAAACATCATGATGTACAGAGAACAAGGCTGGATTCATTTCACAAGACAAAATGCTGCTTTAATTTAGCATTTATCATGAGGACAAATCATAAACATCCCAGCCAACTTTTAAAGGTACTGTGTGGAAGACTTACTGTTAACAGGATTTTTGTGCTCTAGTTTTGAGGAAGAAAGGAAAAGATGCAAACCAATCATAAAACCATAACAAAATTTCATTCCACTTTCTCAATCTCCAGTTAAGTGCATGTGCATATACATTAGGCACTAATCATATGCTGGTAAACCAAACAGTTCTGGTTTGAAATCCTCCATAGAGTTCAGCAGTAGTGTTGCCTCTTTTTTAAGATCTGGATTTAATTTTTCATCTGGAATCATAACCACTTGCGTTCCTGCTGCCAGGGCTCCTTTGACTCCAAGTGGTGAATCTTCAAACACAAGACACTGAGAAACAAGATGAGGGGAAAAAAATATAGAATAATGTTACTATGAACTTTTAATCTTTTGTTTTAAAAGAGAGAATGATCCCAAATAAAACTTAGTAGGAAAGCTAAATTCAATTTCTGGCTTAGACACCCCTAATTAGAACAAGGGCAAACCTCTCAATTTGAACATCTGCATGGTAATTAACCTTAAATTCATCTCAATTAAAAAAACATCAACATGCATACTTCAATCCCAGCAACTGGTTATACAGATGTTCCTAAGTGATTTGTTTCATAGGGATGGGTTTAAGCACAAGCTTACAGTAAAGTTAAGCAAGTGCTTTAATACTTTTATAAACAATCTAACTCTTCAAGACCAACTTTACAACCTGCAAAATGACAAAAAAAACAGTGCTTTCACTTACTAGGCATGGCATTTCTTACATACACAAGATGGGGGAGACTACACTACCTAGGTAAATATTAGGACTTTGGGTGACTGGAGGGTAAGACAGAACTCAGTTGTCTGAAGAGTGCTGTTGAATTCATGCTCTATTTGCTTAATTCTTCCAAAGCAATGTTGAGAAAGAAAATTAGCAATTATATTGGAAGGTTACTTTTAGAAGAGAGACAGTTTAGTCAGGTAAAAGTTCCATGTCTTACAATAGTCACAATAATTCAAGATCACAGTTTAGAAGCAAGGCTGTTAAAAATGATTACTACATTATTTATGTGAATTTTGCAATTTAACATCAGAATATTTAATAATAAATATGTAAAAAACCATCTAGTCTGAACTTTTCTATATTAAAAGAGAATGCTTCTGAAGTTCATTCCAAGAGGTATATAATGAAGCACCTCCTGCTGACATTACCCAGTCTTGAGTTCGAATTTTTGGTCATGGACAATCCAAAGCCACCTTTGACATCCAGCCATTTGAAAAATTCTGACCTACACTGACACTTCTGCAGTTCAGACTGCATTTATTATCAATATTAGCACTGCTACTACTACTAATACAAAAATTACTGACACATGTCATTTCAACAAAGATGTGGGGATGGTCAATACAATCTTCTTCACATTCTTTGGACAGTGCAACTCTGCCATATCACAGATTTTTCTTTCATGCGTTAAGCCCTTCTCCACAGTCTTTATTGATCTACCAAATCCCTTCCTACATACCCAGGATGGATTTTCTTATGCTTTTCTTCACAATGCAATAGATTTGGCCACTAATACTGAATGAGTAAGACTAATGATTTGCTAAACTTAAGTTTTAACTTCTGGCTGAATCCAGATACAACATATTGGGAGAACATAACAACAGCATACTGCATCTTTTAGGCTCTCTAACACACCGTGAGTATTAGGGATGCACAGTGTTTGTCTGTTCTGGCTGTGCTCTAAGAGAACCAAGTTGCAACCTGCAAAAACTTTATTATGTTTAAAGAAAACAATTTTGCAATATGTATTCAATGTCTGCATTATGTATACCAATCTATCAGAGACTGTGGAAGAGTAAGAGGGAATGAAGCTTTTCTTTCTGCTTTCCTTTCTTTTAAATATATTGATTCTCGCCCATCAGCATGTCAGCAACCACTTGGAGTCTGCCAAAGAAAGTAATGGGTGCTTTCTACCGCATACGTAATAACGTAAAAATTAATTAATGACTTTTAGTGAGCCAACAGAATCACAGCAATCTCTCTTGTGCTCGTTTCTTTTACACAGTCACTGAATTCCAGTTTGAACAATGTAATATCTTCAAATATTGATCATTATCACTATTACTAACTACAAATATGTAATCAGCTGATCCTGCAAAGCTCAGAACAATTGCTGTAAGAATGGAAGCACGGTCTGCCTATAGGTTTCGTTCTTAAGAATATTTTAATTTGTGACTCTAAACATTCTGAGGACAGTAAATAAAAACCTGACAGGATTTGCCTTTTGAAAAATAAGCTTAAATGTGCCACAGAACAGCATTATCAGGACCTTTCAGAAACCTTTTTCAATCCAACCCATACAAAGAAATGTACTTCACTGCTCTGCCTTGAAAGACCTAATTGACTTCCATGATGTCAGTAAGCTTACTGTACAAGAGGAGCCAATGATTATGGAAGGCAATATGCATAATGAAAAGCTTAACTAATTCCCTGGAACTAGAAGCAATTAAAACTCTTAATTACCAAAGAAGCCAGGCAAAAGACTCATAATTACAGTAGCTTTAATGTTACAGGAAATAAGTGTACTAGGTCTTCCTCCAGTATTTCTTGGTACTGACACTTATTGTCAACATCACAGCTACATTTTTAATGGATGATGAAAGGTTTACAGAGGTTCACATACAAAATGGATTTATTAACTTTGCTGCACAGAGATGTTATAAGCTGTTCACTGTCCCGGTCCACCCACATACTAAATTTAGAGACATGAAAGCAGCCAAGTTCTTCCCCATTTTGCATAAGTATTGCAACATCAGCATCACTCCAACTGAGAGAGACAGATGAGATTTATACAGACTTCAGCTGAGATGCTGGCGGCTTCTCTGCATTATTTCTGAAACTTGTGTCACTGATCAATACTACCGCTATGAGATTTTTCAAAAGGTCATACTAATATAGGACAGTTTTCATTTTGGAATGAACTAGATGCTTAAAAAAGTAAAGTAGCAAAGCATACAGATTTGTTTTTCACTCTATGAACCTAGAAAAATTAATCACTTAACCAAAGGAAGAAATAAAGAAAATTACTGTAGCACTTCAGTACCACATCTCCCTACATGAAATATAAGAACATAAGAAAGGAGTGTTATTTAGGCCCTTGGTATGTACAGCAGGCTCTCTCCAACCTATATACTGTAGAAGTCTAGATGGAATATTTAGGTAACTAATAGGGATATACATAAGTGTTACTGCAATTAGTGATAACCAAAAGGTCCGGGAGCTTAAAAGGTTAAAATCAGTTTTGAAATCAAGATTTTGAAAAACCTGTGAATATATAAGCATGGTAGTGCTTACTGAATAAATACCCTTTACCATATATGACACTGTCAGCTCTAAAACAGAATGAAGAATGAAATTAAAATGGCATAATTTATACACATAGAACTTGTCTTCAAATTAAACACTACCAACTACTGTTCTATAAAAAAAGAATGAAAATTTCCATCGTCTTTAAAATAGGTAAATATAGCTTCAAATTCTTTCAGATTGTATTAGAAAAATCTTCCGTTTGCTGGTTCTGGTCTGGTCTGGTCAGCCCCTTAATCTCAGTGAAAACATTTGCAGACATGGGGACTAAAATACTCATTTTAGCACTCTGTCTCCGAACCAGAGTCTTCGTAGTAAACATATTGAGTATTTAATTTCCTTTGATAAAAAGAGTGAGAAGAAAATGAACTGAGTATTTGTTAACTTCTTCCTTTTCTTCTTTTCATATATTACTATTTTTACACTGTATTCCCCATATACTTCATTGGAAACAGCTATCTACTTAATGAGAAAATATTACCATTTTCATTTTTGTACTGTTATCACTGTGGCATTTACATTGTGGTCTGTTCAAACTGAAGTTAACATGGTTAAGTCTTTCACTGGGCAAAATATACTTAAAAAACCCCTTCAGTCCTATTGAGTCTTAAAAAGAACTAACATTCACACCCCCCCCCAAAAAAAAATAAAATCAAAAGGCATTCTGGGGACGCAAGTGGTTAAAAAACAAATAATAATAATTAATTTTATTCTTCCCTCCTAATCAATGAAAGCACAAAGGGAAAACGGTGGAATTTTAAGGTTTCAAATCACAGTTTCAAAAAGGGCTGGTAAGACCTCAGCGAGGTTATTCCTATGTTCATTCTCCTCTGAACAGGATCAGCCTCTGTTTGTGCTTGGTGAGAAGAGACAGTAGAGGATTATTATATCTCCTATCCTCAAATGACACAGAAGCATTTGGTGTCAGAAGGTGACATTATGTTTGGGCCTTCTTATGGACTGCATATTACACTTCTGTAACATTTTTTCTTTATTATTGCTTTTTCTCCTTCATGATCAAATTAACTGGTCAAAAGTGTGACATGTTATTTGTAAAATTTCCACTCTGTAAACATTTGGTAACCTTATACATGAATTTCTGTATACATGCACAGTGCAGTCTTCTATAAGCATTTAAGGCCTAATTCAAATTCCACCATATCACTAAAAAAATCCCCACTGATTTTAATCAATGGATAGTGAGCCACGAAACAGGCTGCAGGAAGAAATCTACCAAGTACAGGCAGCTCATGTGGATTTCAGAATGACATTATGCATCTCTGTCAAGCAGAAGGCAGTCAGACCTTTCATTTCTACAGGTAACTTGTTGACTTCTCTTCCAATAGTATTTTTACTCTCTTCATTGTGAAAACCTAGCTCATATTCTGTGCTCATAATTCAAAACTAAGTAGTATCCAAGAAATATGTTATCAGTCTGAAAGATACTGACATTATGCATTTCATTTTGTTAAATAACTTTCATTTCTTTTTTTCCTCACTGACTCCATTTTTTTTTCAGATTTTCAAAATAATTCCATTACTGACCAACTGTCTTACTAGTGTGAGTGACCCAGGAATTTTCAAAAACCATAATATAATTCAGAATACAACACAAACGCATCTACATCTCTTACAAACTATTGAGATGCTGAAAATATACTGCTTATCACTTATGGGAGGAGGTGGAAATTCACAAAAAGAGAGAGGAAACACCAACAACTTCACTAACATGTCATAACAGATGCTGGGCTATTTTTTAGGCAACTTCTGTTTTCTTTTTTCCTGTGCTTTGATATAGTACCTAGGAACAGCAGAAAATGTATTTCTAGGTGACCCATTTACCACCAGAGTTACTTAAACATTATTGAATAAATGCATTTTAAGCAGCTACAGTATTTGCAATTTTGGCCTCCCACTGTGTTAACTCTCTGAAGAATTAACAAAGAAACAGTAATGAAATAAGTTGATTAATATCTCTCTGGACATACACT